GGGAGTGTACCGCAGCTGCAGTATTTCATTTCATTCATTCTTCATTTTCTTCATGGTGTGAGTCTTGAACTATCTCACGTACAGTGTAAATGTTTGTTTGTTTTTTTGAGATGGAAACTCAGAATAGCATTGGCCAATCAACTCAAGTACACAAGTCAAGATGGACTAAGTACCAGAAAGTGCGGCTATGGCTGCCAAATTGCTCTCTCATGTAGGTCACTGTCCCTCGGCTTTGCCCTCTGTCAGAGGTCTCTTTCCTCTCTGAATACCTCTCTCATCTCTCTCCCACACTTCCGCTGCACTTGATCTGGCTCTGGCTATTTCCTATGGGTGCCCACCACCGTTGACTACTACTATCAGCCAGAATCACAAAATGGCACAGGTCGCAACATCTTCAAGCAACATTCCAGACTCCAGAGGATGTCTAAATAGCACCGTAGCACTTCGGCATGGACTCCCTCAGTGAATAGTTTTTTATACCTTTTTTTAAATTTTTTTCCTTTTCGTTTTCGGTAAACGAGAGCATCAGGGACAGGCAACTATTGTGCAGGCTGTAGGCCACAGCAGGAGCAAGTGTATGGTGTGTGCTGTGTGCTGTTGCCTCCATGCTTGGCAGCCAGCTCCACCCACCATCTTCCACCATCTCTCTCTCTCTCTCTCTCTCTCTCTCTCTCGCGCGCGCGCGCGCGCACGCGCGCGCGCGCGGCAGGACGGGATCTTCTATCTCAGCAGATCCCGGTTCACCACCGGTGTATACATGCATCCCCTATGGGCTGTGAACTTCAGTCAAATTCCTTCCAAGAGATCAGACTTTTGCATATTGGAAATGGTTCATATTGATGTTCAAGTTTCGCTCTGTATGCATACAGAGCAAATTATGGAGTATGCTTCTCTGTACTACAAGGACCATTTTGGTTCTAGGCTGAGTTGTTTTGACCTTGATGATTATTGTAGTTGTCACATTTGGCGGCATCTGGAAGCAGGGCTTAGTTGAGCATCAATGTCGGCCTTTGGACAAGGATTTTTCTTTGGCTGAAATTTCAGACTGCTATCAGGAAGCGTCCTTTGGGGAAAGGTCCTGGTTTGGATGGTCTTGCTACCATAATTTTCAGGAGGTGTTTAGCGTCGCTTGTCGCGCGAAACTCTAGAGCTAATCTGCTGTCCTCCAAGCGGTCAGTCAATACCTGCTACTCATCTGCAGGGAATAGTCACTCTGTACACGAAAAGGAGATCCCAAATCCCAAATCGAGACCCAGAGAGTCCTTGACTACAACATCATACCCTCTGAGAGTAGCATCTGATTAAACCGGCTTTTTGAAAGGGATTCAAATTCTAGACACTGTGATGGCTGTCTCTCAAGGGACAGAGAGTAATATTAACAGAAGAGATTTGCCCGTAGGCATAGTGCTATGGGAAACTGTGTGTCTTTCAAGATTTCAAGATCTGTTTGTCAGGGGTGCCCTCTGGGCCCCGTATTTGTACATTCTCTTCATCTTCGATCTGCATTCTGTCGTCCTTTATGATTACCGTATTTCATGGGTACAATTCTTGCTGACGGGTCAGGCCAAACGTCAATCTTTGGCTCATAATACATCTGCTTTGCTTCTACTTCCTCAATTCCCTCCTCCGCTTCATTAGGGAGTTAGAAATTGCGGGTGCCCTAGTTCTTTGTTTCTTTTTTACCATTGACGAATACAACTCATCATTGTCCGGATGAAAACAGCATTCAGAGACGAGCAACCCTCGAACAGCGTGCAGGAACTGACCAACTCGGAGCCGTTATCCTCCTCCTCAACAACCAGAGGCTAGTCAACCGGAGCCAACACTATATGTTGACCCAGCCCCTGCTGACCGACATTCAGTCTTGCACTTGCGGCTTGACGTTGGCTCAACGCTGGCTCTACGCTGGCTGGATGCTGGCTTGATATTGGATGCCGACGCGAGACTGCTACTGCTATGTGCTGGCGCCATTCCCTGTCGGCGCCAGCTCTATTCTTGATTATGCTGATGTGGCTCTACAATACGTAATTCTTTTTACTATCAATTAATTAGACTATACGACATTTATGGGATATTGGCGAGGAGGAGCAGGAGCAGGGCTGTGAGATTGGTTGATCGAAGGGGAAGCTTACCTGTCTGCGTATGGGTTGACATTGCGCGCAGCTGTTCGTCTTCAGAAGGTGTCTGCACTGACAAACGCCATGATGATACCTGCTCTTTGTCAGATTGTGTCAGAGGAGACTGTCTCCTGATGTGGTGAAGGGAGATGCCCGTAGAGGAAGAGGGTTGTTGAGGGAGATCTATCCGCTATGTTGATGATCTCCGGTGACCAGAGATTGGGCTACTTGATTTGAATGGGTCCCACATGTGTGTAAACATTCCAACACGACTATTTTGGAGACATTGAGACTGCGCTGAGACATACTGTATCTTGACCTTGACGAGCTTCTCTCCTGACTAGGTTCATTGCAATTTGGTATCGGAGCGATATCCTCCATCCGTCACTATCTGTTGATGAGTCTAACGTGGCGCGGTGGTCACGTATTTGCGCGTTGATACATGCTTGGCACATTTTTTATCGCGTTTGTGAACGCGCGCTTGTGCTGTCGCGCACTTGAACATCCGCGTGTCTGGATCTCTCCACGTGTACTTATCCGTTAGCGACGTTGTGGTGAAGTGGCACGAGGGTAACCGGCGAGAGAGAGGCTGCGGCTGCTGACCTGGCTTTGTGAGATTGGTGCGCTCATGCCTATGTGTGCCTAGCCATCTGGGCTGCACAAATATCGACAAATGCAGAGACTGAACAACAAAGTCATCGCCTGCTCAGAGACTGATCAACAAGGAATCAAATCAACAGGGTGCCTAGTCATTCCAACACCTGCACTCACGTATCAATCCAATAAGGCATATGACCTCAAAACATAGGCCTGGGCGCACCTTTGGAACATTCTCAAATAATCAAACCAATCGGGCATGCAAGCCCGAACCATCAAACCGACTAAATGCGTGGCCCTACTGCTCGAACCAGTGGAATGCACGATTCTGGATCAACAACTAGTAGTGTGGTGCAAAAACCTGAAGGGTGTCATGTCCCATGTTATCAAACAAGCAGGGCGCGTAGTCCCACATTATTAGACTAGCAGGGCGCGTGGTCCCATATCATCCAACTAGATGGGCGTGCGGTCCCACACCACCCAACTTGTGGGGCTCGCAGTCTCGGGTCATGAAACCAGGGGGGCGCATACTCTCAGATTGTCAAACCAGTAGGGTGCACACTCTAGAATTATCAAACCAACAGGGCGCACGCTCTTGGATCATCAAACCGATAGGGTGCGCATTCTCGAATAATCAAACCAGCATGGTGCGCGCTCTCGGATCATCAAACCAATAGGGCGCACACTCTTGAATCATCAAACCAGCAGGGCACGCGCTTTCGGATCATCAAACCAATAGGGCATGCACTCTCGAATCATCAAACTAGCAGGATCATCAAACCAGCAGGGCGCGCTGTCCGAGGGCACGGTGTCCCGGCCCTCCTCTGTGTACCAAGTCCCTACTTGGTACCACCCTTAGTTTAGTGCTGCGATCTGTAGCTACTCCCGAAACACTGTGACGCTTGGTACCTGGGCTGTAGTATGATGTGGACCAGTCCCGGTGGCGTAGCCCTCAGCAAAAGGGGTGCGCCACAGGACTTTCATTGGTCCACGCAGGCTCGGCGCCCTGCTGTATGGCAGAGCACAACCGGCCTGTGACCGTGGTAGCCGCCGGGTTCGCCCTGGGACGCGAAAGGGAAAGGACTGGCGCGGTCTTTTCTGTCGCGCACTGAGATTCGCTCTACAGGGTTATGGGTTAGGTGTACGAAATAGAGGTCGCTGATAAAAAGGGAAAAAAGAAAAGCGGAAACAAAGCGCCGAACTTGAACTCACTATGATTTGGGGAAAATTCAGTTGCTTCGGGCCACTGTGATGTTGCAGTTCTCTTTCCATTTTTTGCTTGCTGATTGTCATCATTGTTATTATTATTAATGTTACTACTTAATTTTCCTATTTTTCAGTTTCCCGCTTGTCGATCGGTCACTTCGCAGGGAAGGCCGCCGATTCGGATTTTCGAACTTCAATTGCGGTCTTATGGTCTGGGGCTCTACCTACCCCTTGTATATCGCCTGTATCAGACCCGTTCGTCCGAGCCTCGCGGTGGGTCCCCGATGGCCAGGGTAAGAGACAGATACAGTATTCAAAAGAAGTTGCTTCGCGGAGGAAATTTGAACTATCATCTTTTCTTTTCTGCGATTTTTATTATTATTATTATTATTATTATTATTATTATTTTTGTTATTATTACTTTTCTGGTTTTCAGGTGCGGCCCTCCTTTACCTTCCTTGTCACATCGAGGGGAAGCCAACGGTTCGAATTTGGAACAGTGGCCCGAATTGGTCGACCCCTCTTATTCCGTCTGAGAATATGTGCCGATTGAGTGCTGCGTGGTCGGGCCTTAAAAGAAGGGCGACCCGCGGCCGCATCGGTAGGAGACTTATCACCCCCCTACGGAGGGTCATAAGCCCCCTCCTTACCATCGGATACGGGCACCCGGTAGGAGTAGGTCGGTGGTCTGCTTTTGAAGCGAAAAGGTGCTCCGTCGATATTACATTATGGGATTACTGTGTCCAGCCTGTGGTAATGAGATTTGACCATTGGCGCCTTGCTTTTCATTTTCTTTTTGTGAAGACTATTTTTCTTTAAATTAATTAGTATAGAAGTTATAGAAAACCAGAGTGCAGAAGTCTAAAAAGGGATACTCGAGACTCTCGTTTAGAACACAGGGGTCGCGGCCTCACCGGGTGTTATAAAAGGGAGATTGCTCCTAGGTTTTTGAGTGAACGAGTGAGGCTGACGTGTTGCGAATAGAGGGGAAACGCTGAGGCTGTATTCTCCCAGCGGTTTGAGTCCTGTTCTGTCCTATGCCTCTAGTGCGGTACGGGCAAGTAACGTTCTGAGCGTTGGCTATAGTGGGCGYGGCTATCTCTGGGTGGCTATGGCGTTGCATGGGTATAGACCCAGCTATTGGTACCACCAGATTCGATGGAAGSCTATGTCCGGGGAGGGGCCCTGGATCACGRCTATACTCAATTATGATGGGAGTGACGAGCTGAGMCTGAGGATCAATGTGGAGGRAGGAAAAGAGGAGGAGATGCGGACTGATGGAAGGCTGCARGACGCTATCACGGAGACGAAAGACCRTGTGGAGAGGCGCTGCAGAASAGATGGGRTGACGGYGAAAATGCAGGTAACRGTCTCATATCATGAGACCGAGACCTCGATGGACAYGGCGGACTGGGAGCWGGCCCACCTGGAACGAGACTYAGGTGGGGAGAGCGAGATGAGCGAGGCGGAGGACCGGGAGACGGACCTCAGGTCCTGGATCAGACCAGGCGAGATCCAGAGGCATCACCGGGCTGCAAAGCCGGTGGAAGAGGGACCTGAGGCCAGCTCACGACAGCTGACGCCCAGAGGCCGTGGGACCGGAGAAAAGCAGAGCAAGGGGAAGAAACGTGTGTGAAGCGAGAGAGAATCGACACGCGAGGCAAGAAGGCCAACAGCGGAGAGGCTGAGGCAAGGACGTGGGGCACGCGATTCCTTTTTTTTGACAGGTGTCGTGCGAAAAAGAGACAGAAGGTCAACGCGTAAAGGGAGAGAGAAAAGGTTGTCGTCAGCACTGCAGGCGATGTACAAGAATGAGGAGTGTGGGCAGTTGGACACGTGTGTGGACTGCACGTGGTAAGGCCAGGAGAACTAGAGGGCTGTTAACGAAGAAGAGGGACGGTGTATGAGCGGGAACGGGACAAGCTTGCGGTGTACGACTGATGCCAACTTTTCTTTTTTTTGTGCACGGACTTGCACGACATCCCGTTTAGACCCCGCGAAACTGAGAGGAGAGAGGGACGCGGTCCGGGAGAGCGAGAGGAGGCCAACGTATATGGCTACCCTAGAGAGAGATAGTTGACGTCAACCATTGCTCACACGCTCGCGCGGTGTGTCTGCACCTGCAGTAATGACGAAAAGATGAGGAAAGAGGAAAAACCCGCCGGGACAGTGTGAGAAGTAACCATCAAGAGAGGCTAGTCTACGGGGCGTGGTGTAATTCTACCTGGTCCGCTTGCCTCGCACTGAGCACGGTCCCTCCCTGTCGGGGACTTAGATCAGCAACCTTTTCATTGGAGTGTGGACTGTAATTACTCGCTAATTACTAGGAGATCAGTGAGAGACCCCTCCCTTTTTGCGTAAGCAATGGGAAGCTCAGCGCATCTACAACGATCGGTGTATGCGTGATCTGCTTTGGCCATGAGCTAGTTGCGGAGGGAGTCGTGAAGGAATAAACAAGAAAGGGGACCTGAGCAAGGATGTGAGAGTGCGGGGAACGGAGCGAACAGGACAAGTCAGAGAGATCAGTGTGTGTAATCTCGCCGTCTACGCCAACGGGTCCAAGCAAACAGCAGCTCATGACTGAGCCAGATGCTCGATGAGACAGACGTTGGGGCCCTATATCAGAATAGACGCTCGAGTTATGAGGACCCGTGAGAAAGGATTGAGAGTCGCGAGACCGACCAGTGGGAGGGGTCTCTCGCTCTCTGAAGGCGATTTCACTTACCTTTTGTCGCATCAACTCTGACGATAGCCTGTTTTGCCATCTCCATTCGACTTTTAGCCTGTAATGAGCATTGCTGCCGAGGGTCAATGACGCGCTTCATCATGGTCCTCTTGGCCAAGTCTTCAGATAAGACGCCGACTGTTGCAAAGTAACCACTTTCCCTTCCCATTAATTTCAGGTTCTTTCTTAGTTTGATTAATCAGTGTGACTAATCGTTGCTATCCAAGCATGCTGCGTTGTGACAAAGAATAAGCCGCAGACAGTGAAAGCTGGTGGACAGGGGATTAGTCCTAACTCATAATAGCGATTCAAAACTTACGGGCTCGGCGGGGAGTCTAGCGTACAGGTTACCAACTTGAGTGACTGGTGAGATTGAAGAAATCGAATATTTTTTATATTGGCGTGACTTTACACTTGTCTGTTGGGTACATTTTCCCTATGTTTGAGTGGCCTGTCAAATCATAGGGCAACGTCAAGGAGAAGTTTAGTCTTCTTCTTGCGTGTCCTGTGTCGTATTATTGCGCGCCTGCGATTGTACCTGTGTGGCTGCGCCGACTGTTCCAAGTGACTGCATCCAAGTGATTGTTCGGTGTGGTAGCATCGTGAGTTTTCGTCTTATGCGGCCGCATTATGCGTTTGGTTCCATATGACCGCATCGCATGGCTGCATCGCACGATTGCATTGCACTGAGTGACTGCATGGGTGCATGATCGCTTTGCCTGACTGCACAGGTGTGACTGCATCGAGTGACTGCATGGGTGCATGATCGCTTTGCCTGACTGC